TGTAGCTGCCTGTATTTCTAAACTATCCAAAATAATGTGTCTCCAACTCACAAAGTTCATCCCAGACAAAATATTTTAGGAGAGTCTGAACCCACTCAACACAAAGTCATTAAATGCCACATATTCCATTTAAACCCATTGATTCATCCTTCCACCTCCAAAGATGAACAGCTCACAGATTTGGTCTTTCCACTAATAAAAAAGATGCCAACTCTCTGCCTAAATGTTAGGAATTTCTCACCATGTACATACACGAGATAATTTTTAATGTCACAACAGTGACAAGGGTTGTTGTGGTTTGCTGGGGTTTCTTGTACAGAATGTTTTTCTCGTAGATCTGTATTCAAATCTGTTTTAATAACAAACCCCATAAACAGAGCACATTCATGTCCCACAACTCACCATGACTGATAGTTTAACAGACACAGAGAGATTTCCAGCTGGTCAGCATTCATTTTAGCTCAGCTCCATATCCCGTTAATCCAATGGAATCCAATAATGTTTGCTTTAATAGCACGGCGCAATGCAAGGGATCGGACTTTCCACTCTAAACCCCCTATTCCAGGGCAGCATCCGTGACCCAGTAACCCACTTCCAGCAGAGGTTAAGGAAAGGTACATCAGACAGGGAAGTTCACTCCTGTCATTCATACAACCTGTGCAACTACTCGAGATACCAAAACTTTTACTTCTCTTGAATTCACCCAGCTGAACAGCTCCAGCAAAAGCAACAGCCCTGTCTTCACCCTGTTTCCAGCAAAACCACAGCATCCCTCCTCAAGGAACAGCCCTTGGCAGCTTGCACTGCAGCACCTCTATAATGAGCATAATGTGCTCCAACTGGCATCCTTCACTTTTTGGATAGTCTGGATGAATTGTTTAAGTCCTCAAGACAATCTAAGATTTGAGAGGAAAGGGGAATATTGTATGTTTATGAAGGTAAAAACCCCAGGAGCTTAGCTTTATTGGTGAGAATGACATTGGAGATCAGACTACTTCCAGCAAGAATTCAAAATATATGTATCTGTACACACACATATGTTTTTACTATTTTTCCAACAGCCACTACAGACAGACAGTATTAACACATCCTTCAGATCCCAGCTGAACTAAAAAAAAAACAAAAACCCCAGGCATATCACTAAGTACCCCCTCAGCACTCGCACTGCCCCCTCAACCCTCCTGCCTGGTCACGATCCACCCTCTGAATACAACACAAACAGACAAAGCCTCCATCCAGACTGCTCCAAAACAAGCTCCTTCTCCCACAATCCTGACAAAATGAAGAGACAGCCTTGCTAAAATAAGATCCCGATGTATATTTATATTTCTGCCATAAAATGCTATTTATTCACCATCTTATTGGTGAGTCTTCCCAGTATTTACGAGAAGAAGCCGCCACAAGAATTGTGTCATCCCTCAAAATCCAAACGTAGATTTACCTAACGTATTCAGGATGAGAATTCCTGCACTACTCCAACCTGCCCCCCTCCAATTCTCCACGGTTTCGCTCCCAGCTGCTGAGCAACACCCACGACATCCCCTACGTAAGGTACGATCCCAATTATGCTCCATGCAGCGGCAGCACGGATCTGTGATCCCACGGGAAGGCAGGCTCGGAGCATTACGCACTGAACTTACGCTGTCCTAGGTTTTCCTCCTCCATCCCCACGTCTAAACTTCTCCCCAGCACGCAACGATTGCGCTGCAGGCAAAGGCGGCCAAACCAGTGCGTTCCAGTATTACTCCCATCACCGCATCCGAGATTAATTTTAATGGCGTTGGCAATAGTAGTGGGAATGCAAAAAGACACCCTCGTGGAGGGTGCTCCACAGATCCCAGGAAGTTAATTCTGGGTCTGGTCAGATATTGGGAGTCAGCTCCACGTTGTCCAGCGTGCCTTAAAGAGAGGGTGCTGGGTGCTGGTGGGATTAGAGATCAACAGGAGAGAAAGCTTCCTGATTTCTCCTAACATGATCCAGGCTGCAGCACTCCTTATCAGTCCCCTTTGGCATTCCCAGCCCTGCACAATCTCAGAAGCAAATGTTTTTCCTCTGCATTAGCATAGCAGGGAGAAGTCTGGGCAACTTAAGCTTTGTTTCTTCCTATTACCCAAAAATCAGCCCCCTACATGCATCCCCTCTGCCCCTGCCGGCATCACTTCAGCATCCCCCTCCCCACGTGCTCACTCGAGCGTGCCATGGCATGGGGTGTTTGTGCACAGCTAAAACACAATCATTTCTTCTGCCTGACTCCAAGAAAGGAAAAATCCAACTTGCCAGAGGAGCATCTGCATTGAGAACCGCTTTTGCTGATGGGATCAGCACTTGGAAGTACCAGGGGAAGCAGCAGAAAGGGTCGCGGACCAATTCATCATCCTCGCACGCACCACCCGCAGACATCCCCCTCCCGCCACCCCCCAGCCCAAATCCCAGCCATAAAAAGCCCTTAAAAATAGAATAAACCCCCAAGCAGAAGTTGAGAACAAATGTGCTTTGAACGCTGCAAAATGACATTGAAGATGCAGAAGAAATATGTATTTGCTGTTGCACTGCATGATTGCATGGGCTTATTTCCTACGTACACATCTCACGCACCCTTCCCACGCAGATCCCCTCCCCTCCACCCCCGCGGCTTCTTCAAAAAAAATTGGGAAAATAAAAATCTTTGATCCCTAAGGATTATTTTGAAAGCTACAAACGCCAAGCGACCCCCATCTGGAGCCTTTTCTCTACAGCCTGACCCATCCATGGTGCAGAGGGGTTGCAGCCACCACCCCGTGACACAACCCAGAGTTGTCCCTCTACCCCCACCCCAAATCTCACACCCCTTCCACGTTACCAACCCGCGCCCCAGCTCAGAGGATGCTGGGCCATGCCGGGTTTTTACAGCTGTCCTTACACCACCTCTTTCCATAAGCCCGACATCTCTGTGGCAGTGTTTGCATCCACAGGCTTTCATCCTGGAGAATCCCTCCCTGCCTCCTCCCACCTCTCTTTTTGGGAAGGATAACGTAATTTCCAGCTCGCACTGGAGGATGTTTTTTTATTCCTGCCGAGCCCGAGGTCACTTCCCAGACTCGTCCTCTGGCCAGTGTCTCCTCCACCCCAGGACCTCTCCCTCCGGCAGGGAAGAGTCCCTTATCCCTGACCTTCAGGCTCACACCGGCAGCCCCACCGCCGCCGTCCCCACCGAGGAGGCTTCTCCTTTCTCCAAAGCCACAGCCGAGGCATCACGCTGCGTTTTTCCGCTCCCACCACCCGCTCCTTCGGTTCACGGGGACTCAGCGAGCCAGCAGCTCCCGCTCCACTGGCTGGGGAGAGGCTCTCGGGGATGGATGAGACCCTCACCCCACATTCCTGCAGGATCTGTGCCAGGAGGACATGAACCCTCTGGAACTAACACATCCCAGTGCTTGGCAGCCACGGGTCCATCCCCCCGCAGACCCTCTCTGGAGCAGCCCCTGCATTCCATGGCTGCCCCCTGGCTCCAGGAGGGGACTGATGGGGTGAGTCCCCTCCAGGGACACAGGACCTCCCTCTGCAGCACTGCCACTGCCAGGGTCACCCCCAAGCCCGGGCCTGTCCTGAAGGGAAGAGCAGCTCCATGACCCCCCTCGCAGTCCTGCCCCATGTCTGTGGAGAACCATCTCATTCCCACGGAGCTCGAATCCCTTCCATCCCACACCATGGGGGGCACAGAACTGTGTCCCCTCCAAGCTGTGAGGTGACAGCAGCCCTATTCCCCTCTCCTCAGCCCCACATGCTCATTTTGGGGGGTATCTGTGCTCCCTTTGGGGCTCTTCTCAGTGAAGAAGGGGTCACCCCAATTCTCCACGTGGGGAGCACCATCTCATGTCCTGCTTGTACCAACCAATGCCACTCCTCCCACCTCAGCCCCACAGACATATTTTGGGGGAACTTCTCTTCCCCTCAAATGTCCCCTCAGCACAAGGGGGACCTTGACACCTCCTCCATTGTGGAGAGCACTGGCACCCCAGACCATGAGGTGACAATGACCCCCATGTCCCCCACCTCAGCCCCCCAGGCTCATTTTGTGGGAATCGCTCCTCCCTTTGGGTCTCTCCTCACTCAGACTAACCCCCAAATCTCCCCTCCTTCTCCACGTGGGGAGCACTGCACTGACCACCACCACCGCAGACCATGAGGTGACACTGAGCCATGTCCATCTCAGACCACAAGCTGACAACAACCCCCATCTGCCCTACCTCAGCCAGGGACAGCGACCCATGTCCACCTCATATCATGAGGTGACACTGACTCCCATCGGTCCCACCTCAGCTAGGGGACAGCAATCCACCTCAAGCCATGAGATGACACTGCCCCACGTCTGCCTCAAACCATGAGGTAACAGCAATGGCCATCTGGTCCACCTCAGCTAGGGGACAGCGACCCACCTCAGCCTATCGGCGTGACCCCCATCTGCCCCACCTTGCCTAGGGGACACTGACCCACATCAAACCATGAGATGACTGATCCACCTCAGATGAGGAGATGACACTGACCCACGTCCACCTTGAACCAGGATGTGACACTGACCCACGTCCACTTTAGACCACGAGCTGAGAGCTGCCCATCTCATCCAGGGGACAGTGACCCATTTTAAACCAGAGGGTGACACTGACCCATGCCCATCCTGGACCACGAGCTGACAGTCACCCACATCCGCCTCAAACCAGGTGCTGACAACGACAGCAGCCCCTCCTCGGCCAGCGCACACTGACCCACGTCCACCTTGGACCACGAGGTGACACTGTCCCCGTCCACCTCAAACAGGAGGTGACACTGTCCCCGTCCATCTCAAACCAGGAGGTGACAGTGCCTCACATCCCCCTCGGACCAGGGGCTGACGCTGCCCCACGTCCCCCTCGCACCGGGCGCTCGCAGTCCCCGCTCTCCCGCCCCTCCGCGGCCGCGCTCCCCGACCCAGCGCGCCGCCCGCCCCGCCGGGGGCACGGCGGAGTCCCCGGCCGCCCCTTACCTCCAGACCTGCCCCATCTGCAGCAGGTGGATGACGGACTGCCAGACCCAGACGGAGATCCTGCAGAGGCGCTGCGCCCCGGGGGTGGCGGTGCCGCCGGCTCCTCCTACCCCGCCGGCGGGTCCCCCACGCCGGCCCGCGGTCCCCCCCATCATGGGCGGCCCGCGGCTGCTGAGCCCCTGCACGGCGCCCAGCCCGCCGCCCGTGTAGTCCTGCACGAACCAGCGGAAGCTCAGGATCTGCACCAGCACCGAGGGCAGCAGCACGAAGGCCAGGGTGAGGCCGCACCACAAGTAGTCCCGCCGGCCGTAGTGGTGCAGCGCCAGCCACAGGTCCGTGCCCACATCCCCCAGCAGCACCAGCAGCGCCAGCACGATCCACAGGCAGTCCAGCCACGGCCGCTCGGCCGCCTCGCCGCCCTCCGGCGGCCCTTCGGCGGCGGCGGCGGGGGGGCGCGGGGCCAGCGGCTCGGCGGCGGCGGGGGCGGCGGCCCGC